GAGACGATTATATTTTTACCACTAGCTCAACCTCTACTTATGCATGTGTCTAAATAAAGTTTAAAGTTTTTTAGGTAAAGTTTATCTTATTTTTCTCATATTTGACTGTCCAAAAGTTTTAAAAGACTATTCAATAGAAAAAGTGTTTCTTAAAAATGAAGAAAATGACTTTTCTAATGAAAATATAAAAAACAAGTTTCACATATTTCACATTGATTGTGTCCTTCCCACCATCCAACACACCTGATCATCTCACTCACCCCCTAGCCCTCACTCCCACCACCCAACCCCAACTTTCACGTTATTTATCTAAATTATACTCACATATTTTTTACTCACGTATTTAACACATAAATATAAATTTAAAAAAATCAACAACTAGCCAAGGTCTTCATAATAATCCTTTATATAAGCCCTTAAACACTTTCACAAAAACCACACCACCAAAAAAAAGAGAAAGAAGACAAAATTTGAAATCGATCGATCAATATGGAAGCAAAGCAAAACTTGGTCATATTATTTGCAACATTGGTTATAGTTGCAGCCATTGGAATTGAAATGGCCAGTGCAGATTCCTTGTGTGGTTTAACAATATATGATTTAATGACATGTAAGTCAGCAGTATCTGGGCCTAAACCATTGCCACCATCTGATAAATGTTGTGCTGCTTTAACCAAAGCAGATTTCCCTTGCCTTTGCACTTTCAAGAATAGTCCAATGTTGTCTGATTTCAAGATTAATTCAACTCTTGCTATGGATCTTCCATCTAAATGCAAACTTGACTCACCTAATTGCTCCGCTTAATTTCTTAATTATTAAGGTGGATTCAAGATTTGAAGATTCGTACGTACCTCCTGAGTTTTAATTTGTTGTTGTTTGAATTTTTAAGTGTTGTGGTTCCTATTGTCATGTGCTTTGTTTTATTATGGTACTTTTATGGCAAGAGTTTATGTTGATCAACTTTGTGTGGTTGATCTTATTAGTTATTTTAATTGAGTTTGACTTTTTGTTTGTTGAGATGACATACCTGTTGGAGTTTTAAAAGTTTGTTTTGTGATATAATTGATTGCCTCAAAATGAATAACACAATAAATTATCGAATTATTAAAACATATCAAAATATTAGGGTTACTAATAAATTGAATCAAATAAGAACAAAAAAATGATAGTTTTTTTAAGTTTGGTTTTTCATTTAAGAAATCGATTAAAAAATGACTTGATTTTAAAGAAAATGATAGTTGCATCAAAACGAAATAAACAATTTACGAGAAATAGCCATCAAGCGTTTGTAGTCCAACGGTTAGGATAATTGCCTTCCAAGCAATAGACCCGGGTTCGACTCCCGGCAGACGCAATTCTTTTTTTTTTTGTTATTATTTTTGTCTAAAAGTGAATTCTCACTTATTCCTTGTTGTGACGTGAGTCTATTGAGTGATTTTAGACTGTTTCCAACAAAGAGTGAATTAAAATTCCTTTTTTTTTTGTTACTATCAAAATTATAATGCAAAGTTAAAAACCAGTTTTAAGAATAGTGTGATATCTGCTTCTTAATTAGTTAGATAGTTTTAACAATAAAATATATTTTGTGCTAATGAACACAAGCTGTCAAACTGCCTAAATCAGTTGAGTAATGCATGCAATCCTATAGACTACAACAGTCATTCCAAGTTACCATATCAATCCAACTTGCCATTGTTAGTCACTTAACTACAGCAGTCCACCTCTACTCACAACATTAACAAAATAAGAAAAGATACTCCCCATTCTCTTACCTGGCCCAATTTTCTATATTCAAGAAACAATCAAGTGCAGACCAAGTTCTTTGATTTGTTCTTAAATCAAGAATTCCGATTGTAGTAACTTAAAAAACTTGATTATTAAATCAAATGTAGTAACAAACAAGTTCTTTGATTTGTTCTTAAATCAAGAATTCCGATTGTAGTAACTTAAAAAACTTGATTATTATTTTTTAAAATTAAGAATTCTAACAAGTTATCAAATTTTTCTAAGAATATCAAGATAAGAGTGGCGAAAGAGTAGAAGAGTTTTGATCGGAATCGTCAAGAGCAGCGCCGATAGGGTAAAATATAGGCGGGTCGGGTCGGGTATGGTGGTGAAATTTTCCCTTTCTATAACGCAATTAATACACGGAAAATAGAATGAAATTGAATCAAATTCTACATTTCATTTTATTTTTAGTTTTTAGTTTAATTTTAATTTTATTGTTTTAAGTTCCATTTAATTTTTATTTCTTGTATTTACTTCAAAAAAAATATATTTCATTTTTCCGTTTTTTTTAATTATCAATCTTGATTTCATATAGTTTTTTTTTATATCATCTTATTTTGTAATTTTGTTTGTTTCTCCAGTAATATAATTTTGTTAGTTTACTCATTTCTAAATTAAAGTACAATTATTATTGAATAAGACTATAAATTTACTTTTTAAATTCTTTAATATCATATCTACGTGTATTACGTATAAATATTACCTAAGAACATTGTATATGTACCAAAAATAAAGTATTGTATTAATTTTTTTGTTAAGACATTAGAACTTTTGTTATATTTTATGTTTAATTTGTAATAGCAATATTGATTTGATATTTCTCATTACGAGATATTTATAGTGTAGTTAGACACATTATCTTAGTCAAAATATTTTAATAGTTTTATAACATTATATTATTATATTATTCTTTTTATGAAATATACATTTCAAAATATTTATGAAAATCTTATACTTTAATTTTTTTATGATTAATTTAACTAAAATACACTAATTTTAAAAATATAAATTCATTAATTTTATAATATATTTAAGAATATATGTTTATTAATTAATTAATACAATTTAAAAAATGATAAATATCTTAAATTTCGATTTCAGAGCATTTATAAAGGTCTTTATTTATCCAATACAAATTTTATATTTTAAGTAATTAATTTTAATTTTTGAAAATTTAATACAGCTTTATGAATTACATAGCCAGTGTCAGATAGTTACAAATATATTTTTTTCCACGACATACAAACATTACCTTAAACTTGGCGTCAATTGAATATTATGATCCTTAATTTTGAATGTACATAATAAGTAGACACTTAAACTTATAAAATTAAGTAAATAGACACATTCGTCTTACATGACACTCTACATGATAAATTTGTGTCTTACGTGACGTCTTACATGTAGGACACGTGTGTCTACTAGTTCAAATTTATACAAGTTTAAGTTTCTATTTGTGTACACTAAAAGTCGGAGGGTATAATTGTACATTGAAGCCAAATTAGGTCAAGTTTATGTATTACACCTTTTATTAGCATAATACATAAATATACCCTTTAACTTAGCCTTATTTTATATTTATGTCTTTCATCTTTGAGTGTGCACAAAGGGACACTTAAATTTGCATAAAGTTGAATAAATAGACGCGCAAGTCCTACATATCATAGTACACATAGGACACCATGTAAGACTCAAATTATATTTGTGTTTAATTATTTAATTTTATATAAATTTAAGTATCTATCGATACACATCTAAAATTGGAGAGCATAAATATAAAATGTGATAAAGTTAATAGGCATATTTATTAAATATGCCTTCTTTCTTTTTTTTCTGTGTGTTCATGAGCACATATATTTAAGGCCAGCTTGTTGGGAAAGATGCATAACATTCGAGTGGTAGTATTTTGATGTTGTTGGTATAAAAAAAGTATAAAAAATTATAGTCAAAATAGTCAGATAAAAGGTAGAATATTAGAAGATGAAGAAGAAAACAGAGGTATGTATTATTTTCATAAACTGCCTATAGACGTACTAATAAGTATAACTCAATTCAACTTGAGCCAAAACAAATAATCAACAAGAAAAATATATGTAATTAGGATCAGACATTATATGTATTATTTTCATAAACTGCCTATAAATATTTAAGTATTAATAAGTTTGATTCGATTGAATTCAACTTGAGCCAAAACAAATAATCAACAAAAAAAAATATGTAATTAGGATCAGACATTATATGTATGCAAATACAAATATTTTGCTACACTCTACAATAAAAATACTGTTACATTTTGAAATACAGCAAATTCTTGCTATTCTTTTGCTAAATAATAGTGTTATTTATCATTATTTTATTTTTTTTAATTTGGGAGAGTTAAATTTCAGATTTAAGCTTTTAATTTTTATTTTTTTGTATACCATGGATTTTGAAAATACCGTTAGCTATTTTTTTTAAAAAAATCATTTTTTAATTTTAATTTTTATGGTTGCCTACTTTGATGAATAAAAGACCATTATCTTACGCATTAAACATAGCTAATTCTATAAGTTAATATTTAGTATTAATTATTGTAAAATAATTATTAATGATAAAAATTATAAAAAAAATCGATATTTTCTTGACATGTCAAAAATAATATAAAAATGAAAATTTATTTTACCAATATGTGATATTGTTTTTAAAAAACATTATATTTGACTAATTCATTTGAATAGGTATTGAATCTAATTGTATTTGACTAATATTTTGACTAAAAATGCTCATAAGAATTAAATTACAAAGAAAATAAAGTAGTATTATATTGTTAATATTATTAATAATTTTAAATTAAAATGTACCTATTCCAAAGATGGAATTACGATTTCATTAAACAAAAACTTAAAATCCACCTATCACTATTAAGGTAATTTAATACAAGTAGCTCTCGTTCCTTTCTATTTATATCAAGAGATTCAGTCAGGTTGATTTATACAAGAAAATAATCAAACTATGTTTTCTCGACATAAAATAAGTCAAACTGAAACTAATTGTTGCGAGCCATTTTGATTTAAAACTAAGGAAGGGTATCGTCTGTTATAGTAAATTAAATGAATATAATTTCAATTTTGACAACCTCCAGCACTAAAGGCGTTATCAAATACAGATTCCAGAGAAATTGCAGTGTTTATTTTAACTAAAAAGAAATAATCTCAAACGGAGAAAAAATTAAGATATGTATGGATAGTTACTAGTAAACGCCTCCTTGAAAAATAGAAAAGGCATTATCAGCGAAACCTCCAATTGATTTAGGCCTCCCATGAATCAAATAAGCACTTTGAATTAACTCAGCTTATTTGGGATTATGAAGGCCATTAACACACAGACTGAAAACAAAAACTAAATACATTTTAACAAGAAAAAAGATTAAGAGAAGACGATGAAACCCTAGCAGGCTAGTGGCGACGAGTTCTACAAACTTGTGCGGCGAGGCTTTATATAGGGATCAATGTGAACCGTAACCCTATGTTTATTACTCTTTTGACCCCTTAAATTTGTTCAAATTCACTTACTGCTCCCATTGTTTCAACTATTTTCACTATTGGGCTATAAATGGGTCAAAGTGGACTAAAATGGATTCATCTAAAAAAAAATAGTAAATGTTAGTTAACCTATTTAGAGTCCGTTTGGATTGGCTCAAAAGTTGGTTAGATTTATTTTTAAATTAGTTTTCGAAAATGACTTACAATAAGTATGAAATGTTTAACAAAATAAAAAATGACTTAAAATAAGTGAAAATCCAAAAGTAGGTCCTCCCCTACTTTTTAATTTTTGACTTAAAAGTCATTTCAGATTGAGTTATTTTTATTTTTGACTTAACAACTACTCCCTCTTTTTTTTTTTAAAAAAAAAAAAGACTTCCTTTCCTTTTTAGTTTATTTTAAAAAATGACCTTTTTTTTTTATAACAATTTAATTTCAGTGTTTCACGTGGCATGTTTAAGGTCACAAAACTAAATGACAATTACATACATTTGACATAACTTTAATTTAAGACCACAAGCTTTAAATATCTTCTTTATTTTCTTAAACTTCGTATCAAATCAAAGTAAGTCATTCTTTGTGAAACTATGATGAGTAATCAAATAGTATAAATTTGCTAAGTAGCATAATTTTCTCTTTTTTTTAAATAAATAACAATTTCTCCATGTTACTATATTGGAAAAATTATATATAATGACAAACTAATAAATCACATTAAATACTATAGCTACACTTTAATTTAATTGTACCTTGTAGCAAACTGTTTGTCAGTCACCTCTCTCCCTCAAACTCTCGCTCGTCACTCTCCCTCTCTCGCTCCATCTCACTTTTATACAAACACAAGTATATAAAATGAGTTTCTGTTTGTATAAAGCGATAAAAAAATGTATATATACATATATTTTCGTTCTTATCTCTTCCCTCTCCCAGATTTCGCTCGCCACCATCGTCTCTATCGCTTATACAAACAGAAATGAAATGTAAATATTATGATTCTGTTTGTATAAAGTAAGAGAAAATTGTATATACACTTGCAAATGCATATATCTTCATCATATACACTTATAATTATACAATACAAAAGTTTTCCTGCCCAATTTTCTTCTGTTTTTTCTCTCTTTCTCGTTTTATACATACACAAATTATACAATTGAATTGTATACAACTATTTTCTTTTGTATATGTATAACGAATTATACAATTGGTTTCTTTGTATATGTATAGTGAATTATACATATTTATGTTTGCTATGTAATGCAATTACGCAAACTTTGCTATAGCATACAAATATGAATTTTGTGTTTGTTATATGTTAAAATTGCTCTTTTTAAGTTTCTAATACTTTTAACCAATTCATATCAAAGTATGACGAATTTAGAAGTTATAATATATTTGGTCAAAAGTTAACTATGCATAACCAAAAATTATAATTTAGAATTTTATTGATTTTTGATGGACGGAAAATGCTACTAACCTTAAAATAAGTATGAGATTCATCAAAACCTTAAGAAAGAAGAAATATCAACGCACCCTTTTATTAAGTTGTTGAATGGCATGAATCCATTAGAGGAATTGGATAGCTTTGTTGTCCATGTAGGCTTATATATAGTTTTTCTTTAAATTAATTGTTCAAGCAATAATTATTAAATGAACAATATCATTTTCTGCAATTAGTTCTTTTCTAAAAAGTTAATTAGTAAAATTACTTTCATACTTGTACTTGTTAGCATGCATTTAAACGAAAAATAATCATCTAATATGGAACGAATATAATAAATAATAAATGATGGAATTTACAATCAAATATTTACCAAAAATCTTAATTTAGTAGCTTAATTTATTAAACTTCTATGTTGTTGACAAATGAATAAAAAAAAAAAAACCAGCTACGAATTTCCAACCTATTCATTTCGATTTTGATGATCTTGTATTTATTTCAAAGAAGAGCACAGGTTTTCATAAATTATAGTTTATTTGATACTTTATAGTACATCAAATTCCATCCTCTCCTTCCCTCTAAGATCAAATTAATAAAAGAAAAAAAAAACATGAACACACAGATTTTGATACATGCGTTTAGGAATGGACAAAAATTACAATTCTACTATATGGAAGATGTTGAGTTTACTAATGTGATATACTTTTGAAGGGCAGAAAAGTGAAAAGTAGAAAGGTAAATTGATTGATACCTCATCATCCGGTTCACTTTGGAACTTTGTTGAAGGCAAAGATGATTTGCTTAATTACAAAGGTATGAATGACTTAAAATTAAGACATTTCATTGGGGAAAGTTGGACATTTTTCAATTTCTAAAACTGGCATTATCAGGTAGGTGGTAAGGAATGTTACTGAGCCAATCTTTTAACTGTCATTGCCATGCACTTGCCCTGGTGCTCAGCCAGGGCCAACTCTGGCTCACTAGGTTCCCTGCTACCATCACCCGAGAAAGTTCCTGCTCCATAGGGAGAACCTCCACTTATTGAATCCATTCTAAACATTCCTGCACCAAATGTGTATCCTATTGGAACATACAGCATCCCATGGTGAGCTAATTGAGTCACTGCTGTCCAGCTGCAAATACAAAAAATGAAACATTTCAATATGGATTGTCGTCAACCAAGCTGTCTTTCAATAATTGGTTGCATGATTAATATTGGAAGAAGGATATAAGTGGATCATCAGAAAGAAGAAAATACAACACAAGATAAAAGGATATAGAGATAGCATAAGAGTACAACTATAGTCCTATGTTAGTCTGTGGATAAAGTTCAAGGATGGATTCTACAACATATATGAGCAAAGCCATTTTCACAAAATAACTAATCACACCATCCAATTCATCCAAGATTTGAAGTTCACCCATTAGCATGAATGCATGATGACTTCCCAAGGTTGCAAAACCAATAACAAAAGAGAGAGATATTAGCCCCAGGAAGTTACTACAATAATAACAATTTTTTTTTATAAATGAGCGAAGTGAGAGGGTGGATGTAATTCAGCTCGAACGAAGTGAGAGGGTATGAATTCCTAAATCCATTTATACTGACAATTGTAAAGTGTTCTTAATGCCTATTACAATAAAATCTGACTGCAAGATACTTAAATCCCTTAGTCTGTTGAAAGATCAAATTTCTGAAAGTACTTAATTGTTGGAGATCAATCAGAAACAGTACTTTCGGGTCTCTAGCAATGATATCATCGAGATGAAGGGATTCCTTTAACATAATCAGTACCAGTTTAACTGATCACTAGTTGAAGGCGATGGTATGGGGACTACATACAATTTTTGTAGGGCTGACGAAAGGATTCAGACTAGTTACTAGTATGCAGTCTCATCAACTATGCTACGGACTTAGATTCTGCTAGTGTTCTCTGTTTCTTCTGTCTCTTTATTGGCAACTACAACTAGGTGAAGCAATTATCTATCAATTTGCTTATGTACAGCTTTGTCATATTTTTGGTTTACATATATGTCACATTGTCCAAATGCATTAACATCCAACTGAAAGAAACACAGTCAGACATCATCAACAACATAAAAGAGACGATTATTAGTATCAACACAAGTAAATGGATAACAGAAGACAGACTTACGAGGTGGTCTCCTGCCCTCCTCCTTGTGTACCAGTACTGACAAAGAACCCTGCAGGCAATCCAGCAAGCTTCTGTTCTCTCCACAACTTCCCGGTCGAGTCAAAAAATGCCTTCATTTGAGCTGCCATACATCCATATCTTGTAGGAAATCCAAACAAGAATCCATCAGCTTCAATCAGTTCATCCACAGATATTACTGGAATGTCATCATTTTTTGGGGGAACTTTCATTTGTTCCAAAACATCTGGTGCCAAAATTTCAGGAACCATATACAAAACCCCTTCAACACCTTCAATCCCATCAACCCCCTTTTTCATCCTTCTTGCTAATGTTTCAACATGTCCATACATTGAATAAAACACAATGAATATTCTCAACTTCTTGGACCATTCTGCTTCTGACCCTGTTGTTATATCAGTTTGAATCACTGGTCTCTCTGCTGATGGTTCATTTATAGGAAACTTGTTCTTGGTTGGCATACAACCCCCTCCTTTACCCATTTAGCTGAAATTAATCAAGAAATCCAAATTACCACAACCCTTTACCTCAAAGTTTTCGACTTTTTTTTTTCAGGTTGTGAGCAATTCTTGAATTGAGCTATTTTGATTCTTGGATTATCACAAGCAAAGTTGACCAGAAGTCCTTAGCTACTTCGAGACTATCTGCTAGAAGCTTCGGTGGCAAGTTCCAATTTACTGCCAACCACAAAGTGGATTCCACGATTCAAATGATTTTGACAGAATTATACTGAAGAAACACATTGTTTCATAGATCTGAAATAAACAAATTTCAATAAGCAATATTTGGATCTTGAAATTATGGCTGTCAGAGAAAAGTGGCTGGACACCACTGTACTTAGGTTATGTGTGCTAATTTTGTGTTATTCCGATTAAGCCCCCTTCCCTTCTTCTATTCATCCTACTTGTCAAAACAGGCCGGCCCATTCACTCCAATTTTTGAGACGTAAGAAATTTATATGCAATTCTAAAAGGCTTCTGGGGCTAGTCTTTTTTATTTATTTATATCAAAGGATATAGAATTTACAAGTTTTAATATTTTTTATCAAAAGTTGAATATGCATAACCAAAACCCACAATTTATAATTTGTTAATTTTTGATGGACTATAAATTTTATCAACAAATAAGTATGAGATCATGAAAAGCTTACGAGAATGAAGAAATATCAATTGCACTCTTCCATTCACTTATCCATTCATGTCAATTATCAACTACTCAAGCTATTCTATTTAATGTGATATTTTTTCCCTTCTAGTTTGTCAAGAAAATTATGATACATTTTTTTTTAGTTAGAAATAATTTAATTTTCAAATTTTCATTGGATTATTAATTATGAGATAACATGTATTTATACAAATATCAATTTTATTTTAGATTATAAACTTCAAAAAAGTTTTTTTTTTGTAAAAAAAATATACTATGGGGTGGTTTGATACAAAAATTAATAGTTCAGAGACTAGTAGGGCATGAATTAGTTAACCTTTGCACAGTTAACCCAAAAAAGTAATACTTGCCAAGACCCAAAATTCCTTGGGAATTGTATGCATAAAATTATCAGTGGATGTAATTTCAAATACAAGTTCCCAGTAATCCATTGTTGCTAAACAAAGTAAAACTACTTTTTTTCCGTTCAAAGAAACACTACATTCTCTATTTTCTAACTTTAAAAGTTAGAGCATCAAATACAAAATCTGCACTTGATTCTTCATAATTCCAGCCGTCTTTGCAGCTACTACTTGTGGTACAGATATACCAAGGAGAAGAGGAAGAAACCACCCATCTATCATACAAACAAAATACAATCATACAAAATATTCTTGTACATGATAAAAAACAACCAAACTATATCTTAAATAGCACTTCCTTTTTAATATCCCGTGATAGAAAAGAGGTACGAAATAATCCAACAGATCAGATCATAAAATAAGAAGACAAAACGTTGTCATCATATTGCCTGTATGTTTCATTTGACTCCCCCCCTCTTACAACTCTAAACATCGTAAGAGGAGGATCCAAGTTTAAGAATCTTTAGATTTTTCTAGGTTTCCAAATAAAATCTTGTAAAATTAATTAATAATCTAAGACTCCTCAAGAGAAACTTCCACAATAGGATACCAGCTGCAACAAATTTTCTGTATCCTGGTTTCCTGATATAACTAAGCAGAATTTACCGCCATATCTGTACTTTTTAGGTGTTAAAAGTTAGATAAATACCCTCATTAAATCAGATAACAAGACTCCTTATATTCTAAGTCTCAACAACTTAAGGAGGAATTGTCTGCAGAGAAGCAGGGGTTTGAACTACATAGAGTACATTAAAAATATGCTGATGGCAAATCAATTAAAATGTGTAACAAAGAGATTGATAGATAGATAGATAGATAGAGAGAGAAAGAAACAGAGGGGGAGAGAAGTACCATAGAGAAGGATGCTCCATAATAAGGAAAAGCAGCTGTTATAAATCTCTCATATTCATTATGTCTGAAGGGTCGAACAGGAATCTGCAAGCAAAAAGATTCCCCATATTAATGCAAATAACTATATAAGGTGTCGTCAACCACTTCCTTTATTATATTATTCATGACTGAATTTCGGAAATGACATAGTTAAGACCAATTAAATGCAAAAGTCATTTTCTTGTACTTCAAAGCTAAAGTGATATTATACTGTAACCATTATTTTTTTTAAAAAAAAAAACTAAAGCAACATGGAGAGCACAGGCGTCGATGGCTTTCATAAATATATCTCTTAAACGAGTATCTTTTATGAACAACGACTATATTCACTGCTTTCATCCAACAATGTTTGGGAATTAGAGCAACAAAACAAATGATGAAACAAGACAAATTGCAGATATACGAAAAAATTCATGATAACTAAAAAAAGAAAAAAATGTTTTCATGATAAGGTGTGTGATGCTAGCTTCAACATATACATTTGAGTAAATGACAACAGACTACCGTATATTCTAAAGAGTATTAGAAGCTCTAAATCATGTTGTAATTTACGAGCACTTCAGTAATTCTCTCGCCAAATAAGTAGGAAAGCAAAAGTCCTATATAAATTTGTGTCCAGAATGTGACTGATACAGCATATATATTAGCTCTTCACTACAAAATCTGTAAAACATGAAAATAACGACTGCACCTACCTCTTCTAACAATTAACCAGCTTAAAGTATGATAACAAAAATTTTAAAGTTAAATATGCCTCCATAAGAGATGGTGCCTGTAGATTTCGAAAGAACATACCTGTTTTGCTAGGCTCAAGCTTGTGACTCCTAATTTCTCGTACTCAACCTTAAACTGGAATACTCCATAAACATCTGGAACCTTGAATGATGTATAATAGACACCCTATAGAAAATGAAATTAGAAATATTAATCCTAGTGCTAAAACAATTCCTACCATAAGATAATTCTGGAGCACTTAAGAGTACCTTCTGATCGGTTGACATGGTTTTCAGAACATAGGGGCTCATCATGTAAAACTGAACTTGAACATCATCTGCAACATAAGGTTCCCAACTTGTTCCAGACCATTCATAAATCTCAAGAGAATATTCCTTGGATCAAAATCTCAGTTTCAGTACACATCCAAAACCATTAAGTGAACCTAACATAAGATTGATAGATTATAACAAACTTGCAGTGTAGTAGTACCAGATCATCATTGATTCTGTATATAGAAGGTTCATCTGCCTCCCCAACTTTGTGATGTCTTACATTCACAGCCTATATATGAAAGTGTATAGACATAAATTCCCAATTCACATATTGAGAACAGCAAAATATGGATAGTGAAATGCAGCCAATTGAAGTGCATTTCTTTTATGACTACAAGACAGCCCAAAGTAAAACATTAAAAATAAAGAAGCAAGTGGATATGAATTAAGAACTTGTATCTGACACTGCACCTTGAGATGGCCTCTTTCATGGAAGACCCACTTGCTAATTTCAGTCACAAACTGCTCATTACCAGATTTCTCATGGCTGCGATCACGGGATAAATTTATGGTCAATCAAGTCAGAAAGCATAAACAATACAAACAGAGTTGTACTTTACGTGGAAGAGGACAGTAAGAGGCACAATTAGCTTCAAGATATTGCTTCTTTAGCAGCATTAAGTGAACAAATAAATTGAGAAAAGAAATCAAATCACATCAAATTACACACTGTTCAAACTAAAATTGTGTAGATCCGCATAATTGAAAACCTTACAATACATTGAAGAGTATACCAAGTAGAAAACCTTACAATACATTCTAGTAATTACAACAACGAAAGAACTTCCAACATCCAACAAATATTTTTGGTTAGTGAACTTCTTTCTGGTAGCCAAAACAGGAAAATACAGGTCCATATCAGGATGCCAATAGTTGAGAACTTTTTCACAGATTATGGATACACTACTGACATAGCAATGATGTGCTTAGCAGCTTCAGTCTTAGAGAAGTCCAATCAATACCCAGGCTTTTAATTTTTGTTTTCTTTTTCATTTTCTAAGTCAATTCAAGCTGAGGCTTCCACACACATCAGACTCAAGGTACTATCATGTCAAACAAACAGAAGCAACAGAGTAACTACGAGTGCTTACTTGATTGTGCTTCCAGCCTTTTGCACCCCAGATCTGAAGAATCTGGACATGAGAAAAAGGCTTGTCAATTTGAGCAATTCAGATTAGATATTACTCCACCTAAAGCCTCAAAAGTTACTTACCGATTGCTAAACATGCTTAAGGAGCCAGATATAAGAACTCGAGCATTATTTCTTGCCTGCAATTGGAAACAATCGTCATTGACTTTTTTTGGGTGTGTTGTTGATCTTATTTAAACATCATTTAATGGTTGAGCAACAAAAGGAAGGACGGTGATGGGCCAGGGGTAGCATTATGAGGCAAAGATTGTCAGCAAAGTATGCAGTCTTTACATATGAAATTGCCATGATATATCATCACCATACTGACCAGATCAGATAAATTTCATCTAAATGTGATCTAGCTACTGCAAAAGGTATAACATTATCGCCTATACCTTTCCAACAACAATAACATAACTAGTACATAGATGGGGTTCTGGGGAGTGTATAGTGTAGACCTTACCCCTACCTCATGGAGGTAGAGAGGCGTTTCTGCTTACACCTTTCCATCTTCCCTTTTTCTTTATTCTTTAAAAAAAGTAACATGATTCTTTTTCTGCTTAACTTCTATGCAAGCATCCCTGCATGGCTTCATTATCTTAAAAAGGTAAACAGCACCAGTTGAACAACTTTTGAGGTTCAAGGTCAATAATCTGAATTAACAGAAAGACATCCAAGACTCAGGTAATTGAACAGGTAGAAATTAAAGAACATGATCAGGAATATTAATAGGTCACATATTGGATGAACCACCTGCACAACTGAAACAAGACTGATTGCAGATCCGGTTAGTGTTGGTGGAGTTGATAATTTGGATTTAGGATTGGCTGAATACGCCGAAGGCGAAGCTGAGAGAACTTTCAGCACCTGCAAGCATGATGGATGCACTCTTTGATATTAAATAACTATACAGAATGTACTTCACATACATGTATGTCCAGAAAGAACTTGCAGAAACTTACCAAGCTATTAGCCGGATTTACAGAGTGACCAATCCCCTTGAAGAGTACAGGAGCCTAGATTTATATAACAGAAATATGTATTAGAAACATGCTGCTCCATCACAGCAGGACTTAAGAGCTGTATCATCCGTTACACAATCACATGCCAGTGTAAAAAATGTAAAAGGTAACTGTGAAGTTTGTACATACAAAGTTTATGACCCAATGCCAATAAATGCCTCAAAAATGCACATTGTAAAACTCGAAAGGTCTACGTTAGGAGATTAT